TCAGTTTTTTTTTTTAAATGCCTGAACTATGCATGCATCTGAAATCTTTGCAAAATTTAATTAAACCACTTGATGTTCCTCCATTGCTAGTCTTCAAATAGAACATTTTGTTCTTTACCTTTTAGTTTTCATTACATTATTCTTCCTTGTTCTCAGTTTCACAAACTAATACAGGTAGTAGCAAATCTGCTTTGAAAATATTTAGCAGGAGAATTCATTCCGACTGGAGAATTCACTGGTGTCAGTTTACTGCAAAGAAAGCTAACTGGTAAAATCCCAAAGTATCATCTCAAGGCCCATACAGATCAGTCCTGAATCAGTTCCCTTTGGAGATTGGAGATCTGATGAGGGCATGATTTGAATTCAAAGTTCTGTATCGAGATCTGAGAACAAACTTACTTAAGTTTACGATTCATGTTAAAGAAAATATTCATTCATAAACTAAAAAGAAAAGCATAACAATCCTGACAATACTTCACACTTTGGGCAAAATGAAATGAAAATGGGACATTTATTGTTATAACATTGACTTTTAGAGCAGTGTCTCTTAACCTCTTAAATTTTAGGATGTGTGGACTTCAACTCCCAGAAGTCCTAGCTAGCATGCCTGCTAGGGAATTCTGGGAGTTGAAGTTCATGCATCTTAAAATTGCTGAGGTTGGTAAATGCTGCTTTAGAAGGCATTAACAATGTCAGGTTTCAATGATTTCACCGCAATAAATGTTTGAATATATTCCTCCTTTTTTTTAAGGCAGGGATGGTAGGAGCGACGGCGGGAGGCTCCACCCACTGACCCCGATGTCACCACAACGCTTCTGCGCATGTGCAGCCCCACTACAAACCAGTAATAAAGGTAAGTAGAACCCACCCCTGGTCAGCAGAGGCAACTAAACAAAGCTCTCATAGCTTTGTAGGAGCTATAGGAGGTACAATGACACAGAGAAAGTGACATTTGTACCCCAATTCACATTTTCTTTCACAATGAATTTCAGCAGTGAATCATCAGAGATGTCAGTAATTAAATAATGACTTTTATTTGATGCCCATAGGGGGTTTTATACACAAAATGGCATATATATTTCAGGAAGCTAGTATTGTATAAGGGACTGAACTAGAATTTCAATACAAATGTTATTTCTCCTGGATTCAAATTAATCATTGTGAAAAATGCCCCAATATAATGACACCATCCCACACATAGGGTTTTGTGAGTCATGAGCGAAAAGTTTCTATTTTAATTCTAAAGTGGTATTTTTTAGATTTCTGAGATTAGAACACAATAAGCCTTGAAACTCAGTAACATATTCCACCCCATTTTTGTTATTTTTATTTGTTATCCTGTGAAGAAAAGTTGTAAAAATCTTGCTGATTGTTGTGTTTTTTCTTGTAGGTCTTCACAAATGTATTGTCCTTTGAAGCTAATGATTTTTTAGAAGTATATTAATATACCAACATGAATATAATCATTTTCTAAATAGCACAATTCATTTTAAATGTTTATTTCATAGCAAATTTTTCTCCCAGATAAATTTCTACTAAAGAAATAATTACTAAAAATAGCTTCCCTGTGTTATTATTATTATTACACTTTAACAGAAATCCTGCTATTTTGAAGAACACTCTTTCTGAAACTTACACTGGCTAGTACACTTATTAGCAATGTGTAAAATTCTAAAGAGAAACAGACTTGATAAAAATGAATTGCAATTGTTTATTGTAAGTCTCAGATAGTAAAGTACATTAAGGTAGTGTGGGAAGAAATATCCTTCTGGTTCAAGTTCCAAGTCGGGAGAAAGGCACTGGAGACAAAATGGAGGCTGGAGACTGATTGGAAAGAGGGTCCATTTATTGATGAACAGGACCACGTGTTTGTGATCCTGATGCAGCTGACCAAAATGGAGTTGACAGTGAGAGGGTTTTATACCTTCTTTGAGCTTTGCACTTGAGCTTCCTGTTCCTGTGCAAGAACATATATTTTATTGGCTGTTGTCAGATTGCTATGGGGTCATGTAAGGGTCATGTAGGGGTCATAGCTGGCTCTATAAGCAAAAGAGGAAATGCCAATCCTAGGTGTTTGCCTGAGCTAACTTTGTCAACCTTTTGTTTGTTGCTTATCTGAGTTTCTGTCTTGACCCAGTCTTTCTGAATGAATTACCAAATCTGCCTTTCTAAAAGATGGCCTCAGTTTCTGCTTGGGGAGGGAAACTGCAGCTAGTTTCTGAATAGGAGTGCCCAATCTTTCTTAATGGGCACAAAATATCTGCTGGGGGCTATTAAGAAAGACGTGGGGGCTGCTTTCTGTCTCCAAGAGCATGTTTCTCCATTTCTCCTTTAGGGAAATATAATATTCTGCCTTTTTAAATATTCCTCAAAATATTTCATTCTCCTAGGAGGGTAGGTGCTGACTTTATACAGTAGTTCATAATTTTCCAGAATTACAATTGTTTGATTCCAAAGCTTTTACTTACTGTTGGATTAGTGTTCCTCATTACAACGTTTGTTCTGAAAATTATTCATCCCTCCTTTATAATCACAATGAAATGTGGGTTAAAAATTTCTTGAGAAAACACGGCCTAGAGGGAAGTAAAATATTTCACAAGTCCTATTTTAACAGCACAAGCACACTCTTGTCTTTGTTCCAGATAAGGGCTTAAGTGTTGTGATGCTTTTAGACCATAATAAAATTTTGATTTGATTTGAAATGGACTAAGCTAGCAACTCATTGTCTAGAATGCTGCTTGTTCCATCTTGAAGTGGTTCCTGAAATTGGCTCCTGAAAACCTCACAAGATCTGGATAATAAAAATTCAGAGGGAAAAACTGTAACTGTAAATTTAGCTTCAGATTTTTATTCTCAATGAGTAAACTTAATGAGTTTGCACTCTAGGATCAGCCTCCCTGGATCTCTGAGCAAACTGTGTCTTGTCGTATTACTTTTTCCCATGAAATTGTTGTGATCCAGTCCTCAGATCCAGACCTCTCCTGTTGTTGAGTAATAATGCTGCATATAAGATAAATCAAGGTATTATGATGCATCAGTACATGCTGTTAGTGTATTGGTATCTTCTATGAATAGAGGAAATATATTCTTGACACATGGATATAAGTTAAAGAGTCTTATGTAAGCATGCTTCAGCTATTCTTCAGGCATGTGCTTATCTAGGCAGCCTTGCTGTATTCATTTTTGAGGACAAGCACTATTTTAAATGCATTAATTTATTTGAAAGAATTTTTGCTACAGTGGAATATGTCTATAGCAACACTTCATCAGCTTGTCTGGACTTGTTGGGGAAGCAGAGTTTGGACTGGTTAGGTCTTGGGTTGAAGACCTCCAGTGAATTCTAGATTTGTAAACTAAACTGAGAAATTGAAAATAATCTGTTGCAAAAAGGCAGTGACAAACCGTGTGGGAAAGTGACCTATTTTGCACTGTATACTAAACTCAAAGTAAGTCTTCACCTTAGGCAGGGGTGGGTTCTACTTACCTTTACCACCGGTTCGCAACAAGATCGCGCGCACGCGATCACTTCGCTTGCTCACGCGCCTTGCTTCTGCGCATGCGCAGGTTGCTGATGACGACATCCGGGGCAGTGGGTGGAGCCTCCTGCCTGTTTTATTACCGGTTCTTGCGAACCGGTCTGAACCAGGGGCAACCCACCACTGACCTTAGGGCTTAGCTTTATAGGTGACCCAGGTCAACAAAACGGTTGTACAACCTCCCTAGATATAGAAGAACCATTTATTTGCTAAAACATTTTCCTTATTTCCATCAGAAGTTGCTCAACAGTCTTTTTTGAAGACTAATCCTATAAGACTAATCACAATTGACACATACTATAGACTGGCCAGCAAGCCATTTCATTAAAATGGTGGAAGGAGCACACACATACGCAGCAGACCTGAACTGGGGCGACGGCTCATGTGCCCTCAGAGAGGGCGCTGCATGCCACCTCTTGGACACGTGCCATAGGTTCACCATCACGGGTATAGGGTCTCCTGGTTGAGCACAGGGTTGGATTAGAAGATCTCCAAGGTCCCTTACAACTCGATTCTGATTCTGATTCTGATTCTGATTCTGAATGTTTGACCAACAAAAACCTGGTTATTTCATTTCAGGACATTGGTATCCCAGTCTTATATCCCAGCAGTTACACAAAACAGGTTGCATTAGTTTTTGAAATCCATTTATAGCAGGTTTGGCAAAGATAGAATTGATTACTTATAGCAATAGTAAGTTAAAGTTTTCATTATTAAATGTTATACCAACATCTCATAAATATCTTTGGAACATATTACAGCAAAATTAGATTGTAACAACTTTATACATTGTTTTTGCTTTGCTTAACTGAAAGAATAATATATCAAGCCAAAATCTAAAACATGACAAAAAGAAAAAAACTTAAATATGCAAGTGAGAATAGACAGTAAAATACACACATGATTTTAAGGAGAAATGCAAACATTTAATTTTTTAAATACATTTCATTAATACTGGGGACGAAACTGGGATATGCAAAGAAATGAATGGTATAATGAAATTTGGAACATGTCAACAAACAATAAATTAACAAAAGAAATTAAATTTAAAAAAGGAATGATTAAAACAAACAATTATAATAAAATATGGGGGATTTTATAAAATCAGTGTTGGTGGAAGGCAAAGGGAATAAACCTATTTAAGAAGATATGCTGTTTTGGAGGGGATAAGGGCATATTCAGAATATATTGTATATTTTTTAGCTGTTATAGAAGAAATATAAAGAGTAGGGGGGAATGGTCTCCGGGGGTGAGGGTGCACTGTATTATTTGAATTTTTTTTCTTTTTTGTATTTAGATGTGTATGTATATGTTTGTATTGTTTGCATTACTTGTATTTAAAATAAATTTTAAAATATTCAAAAAAAGAGAGAAAGAATTGTAATTGAAAAATAGAGAAAATAAAATAATACATTTCATTAAAATTTGTACAGAGAACATAAAAATTAAAACAGTGATCTAGAATGGAAAGAAAGAGAGAAATGAAAAAGAAAGAAAGAAGGAAGGAAGCAAGGAAGGAAGAGAAAGAAAGGAAAAGAAAGAAATGAAAAAAGAAAGAAAAAAAGAAAGAGAAAGAAGCGAAAGTGCAGAAATAAAGAATAAAAAGAAATAGAAAGAAGCTTCCAATTGCCTTTGCAACAAATATAAGTACAAAATTATCTCTTACTCTATGATTATTAAAAAAAATCTCACCTTTTTCTATTAACCTTTTTTCCTAATAATAAATACCACAAGTCAGAAGTTCATTTTTTCCGTTTCGTGCAAAGAAGTCTACAAGGGATTTCCAGTTAGCTATAAATGTAGATTTTCTCTGATCAAAGAAGTTAATTTAGCCATCTCCACAAGTTGCATCACCCGCATCACCCATTCCCCCATTGTGGGTAGCGTCAAACCTTTCTATTTTCTGAGCATATCAGTAGCCTCGCAGCAGTTGTCATTCATGAAAACAAAGTTTCAGGACTTCTTTTTTTTTCGTGTTGCCTATCCATTAGCCCAAATGAAAAGTTCGGATTCAGTTATACTGTAAATCTGAAATAATATATGTATTTGTGTCCAATTTTTTAAAAGCGTTTTTCCACATAGAAATGCAAACATTTTAGACAATCTGTTGTGAAGTCAACTTGCATTCATATTTCATAATCATCCAGACTGTCAGGCACTTGTGCTAAATATAGAATGCATCTTCCTGCCTCTCAGACGTAGAACCTGCTTCTTTAAAAGGAAAAAAAAGCAAGCTATGAAATCCTGTAGAGAGGTGGATTTTCTGTCAATCTTTCCTCATGGCTGGAGAAAGAAAAGTTTTGATTCTTTGGGATCAAAGGCAGGTGTGCTGGATTACTGGGTCTAGGAAAAGGAAAGAAATACAGGCATTCCTCAATTTACGAACACAATTCAGCCCAAAATGTCTTTTCTTAAGTGAGACAGTTGTTAAGTGAGTTTTGCCCCATTTTACGACCTTTCCTGCCTCAGTTGCTAAGTGAATCACTACAGCTGATAAGTTAGTAACCCTGTTGTTAAGTGAATCTGGCTTCCCCATTGGCTTGTCAGAAGGTCACAAAAGGGGATCGCATGACCCCCAAGACACTGCAACCGTCATAAATATGAATCAGTTGCCAAGCATCTGGATTTTGATCACATGATCATGGGGATGCTGCAAAGGTCGTAAATGTGAAACAAGGTCATAAACAGTGGTGGAATTCAGCCGGTTCTGTCTGGATCGCGCGAACTGGTAGCGGCGACTGCAGGAGGCTCCACCCACCTGCCCGGATGTAATGTGCGGCTACCGCACATGCGCAAAAGGCTGTGCCCATGCGCAGAGGTGGCACGTGCTCTCACATTTGTGAACCAGTAGGGAAGGTAAATGAATCCCACTTCTGGTCATAAATCACTTTTTTCAGTGTTGTAATTTTGAACAGTCACTAAATGAACTGTTGTAAGTCAAGGACTACATGTATATTGTTTTTGCTTAAGCCTCTGATTAAAGGTTGAGTCTAGAAGCAATTCCCCTTAACCAAGCTCACCAATTGAAGCAAACAAGCTCCATCTAGTGGTCTGCCTGGAACACTGCGTGCTTTTTTTTTTCCTAATGATCATTTCAAGTTTCATGCCTCTTGTACATTCACTTCTTTTTTGAAAAGAACTTTGTTGAAAACAAAGTTTGCTTTGGATGATTACTTGTAAGATTTTGTGTCACAAAAAGGGCAAAGGCAGTCTGAAACAGTGGCAAATATCTAGATAAAATCAAGATCACGTGAAGTGTTAATACCACTTTATAATACCTTGGTAAGGCCACATTTGGAATACTGCATCCAGTTTTGGTTGCCATGATGTAAAAAAGATGTGGAGACTCTAGAAACAGTGCAGGGAAGAGCAACAAAGATGATTAGGGGACTGGAGGCTAAAACATATAAAGAACGGTTGCTGGAATTGGGTACGTCTAGTTTAATGAAAAGAAGGACTGGGGTGACATGATAGCAGCGTTCTGCTATCTCAGGGGCTGCCACAAAGAAGAGAGAGTCAAGCTATTCTCCAAAGCACCTAAGGGCAGGACAAGAAGCAATGGATGGAAACTAATCAAGGAGAGAAGCAACCTAGAACTAAGAAGAAATTTCCTGACAGAATAGTTATATATAAGGGGTCTGGTGGCTCAGCAGACTGATAGCATTGTGATTAATAACAGCTGTCTGCAATCACTGCAGGTTCTAATCTCACCAGGCTCAAGGTTGACTCAGCCTTCCATCCTTTCTAAGGTAGGTAAAATGAGGACCCAGATTGTGGGGGCAATAAGCTGACTTTGTATAAATATACAAAAGTATGAAGGCTATTGCTTAACACATTGTAAGCCGCCCTGAGTCTCCGGAGAAGGGCGGCATATAAATCAAATTAAAAAAAAAAAAGTTAACCAGTGGAACAACTTACTTCCAGAAGTTGTGAATTCTCCAACACTGGAAGTTTTAAAGAAGAGATTGAAAAACCATTTGTCTGAAATGGTATAGGGTTTTCTGCCTGAGCAAGGGGTTGGACTAGAAGACCTCCAAGGTTCTTTCCCACTCTGTTATTCTATTCTATTCTATTCTATTCTATTCTATTCTATTCTATTCTATTCTATTCTATTCTATTCTATTCTATACGGTAGCTTGGGTGTAGCTTGGGTGAGGGGTGAACGTTTTGTTACCAGACTAAGTAATATCTTCAGTGGAGTTTAGGGGGTGTCAGTGTTCTTCTGTTTATAAGGGCTTCATGTGGTCAGTAGGTCTTGTGATGGCATCTCCTAAACTCTGATGAATATGTTAACTAGCCTAGTAATGAAACACTTGGAAACCAACCCACAAGCTCAGAGAATGAACCTTCACTCTCAAGGTCTAAAATCCCTAGTCACACATTTCTATGTTACAAGACAAAAAATTAACAATAGCCATATCAGGTTATGGTAGTTCTTCTGAGCTTGTTTTTTTTTTTCCCCATTTGCATAGATGTCATTACCTTCCCCCCCAATAGCATTTTCAGTGCATCTGCTTCATAATAAGTGCATCTGAATAATAAAATGACTGCAAATGAAAAACCAAACCCAGAGAATCTTACAATTCGAAGAAGTCATGTTTTTTCTTGTATTCATCGATAAATTGAAACCATACTTTTATTTCCAGCAAGAACTTCAAGTGGGGTAGGAGACAACCTAATAAAACTAAGGTTCAAGACTTAAAGGGGTACCTAATTCTGAGCAAGTGTATCTATGAGTTATGACCCAGTTAATTCACTGTACTTTATTTTTATTAAATTAATTATGGCCACCTAGTCCAAAAGACTCCGGATAGCTGTAAGGATGGTTCCTGAGGCAACAGCCTGAGAAAGTTCCTTCTTGGACATTTATTTACTTATTTGTTTAATTAGGTTTCAGTGCTGCCCAACTCCAAACCAATTCTGGATGGCTCACGACACAAAAGAAATAGATAGGTTCTGGTCATTCATCTTTCAGTAGAAACATTCACAGAAGCACATCCAACAAGGGTCTCCATCCATTCTAACCCAAGCCTGGGAGAACAGCCATATCTTTGAGGAACTCCGAAACATTTTTAGGATGGGAAACACATGGATCTCTAGAAGGATCTCATTCCAGAGGGCAGTTGCTGTGACAGAAGAGGCAAATTTCCTGGACCCTGATAGATGGCACTGTTTAATTAAAGGGACATGGACCATGTCCAGTCTCTTGATTCATACCAACCAGTCAGAAAGCATGGAAACATAGATGGCCGCTCTCTTCTTATGAAATGCTGTGGGTGCCCTCATAATGTCATTGTGTTTGTAGTTAATGCCAATTCTTGGGGCTTTCCAGCAACAAATGAAGACTCATCTGTTGCCAACTTTTTGTTACCACATTACTGCGTTTATTGCTTCTGTATTTCCTGTTATCGTATATGCTTGGTATTGTTTTGTTTTTATAATTTTAAATTGAAATTTGGTATATATTTTTTATCTTGTTCTATACCCCCTCTCCCTTTTAGGTTTATAATTTAGCGATAAAAACCTATGGATGCATACTAAGCAATCAATTTTCTGGCTGCTGGTTCTCTAGTAACTGCTATAGTTTCATTTCCAGTTTTAAAAAGCAACTCACTGGAGGACAATTTCGGAAACCTTGCCTTTAATATAAAACTTGGAGGCATTTGTTCTGACTTTTTTTTCCCCCAGGTGAAATGTTCCGTATTCAATCCTCAGTGGCAGTTTCACATCAGGGAAGAGACCTCAACAGAAAGCACATTTGTCTCTTATACTGCCTGTGAATGCGGGTTGCTGACGGTTGGGGTTACTGAATGCTGTAACAATGATTTCAAAGTCTCTTGCCTATCTCTCCTGCTTCTGTTTTGAAAACGGCCCTGGGCTATTCCTGCATAAAATGGGAGAGATGAAATAATAAACACCATAGTCCACATGTATCATAGTACAAAAAAAAACTGAGTCACTTTAAAACAAACGATCAGAAAAAAAGGAAGGCAACAAACATAAAGAATTTAGACAAACTTTTGGATCTATTGAAAGTCGGAGTCAAACATCCATTGATTGCAACAAGAGCAGCATTTCATCCATATGGTGATCTTTGTGAATTGCCTGAATGGAGCCAACTGTTCTCCTTTTCCCTTTCTCTCCCTCTCTCTTTTTCATTTGCTTCTCCTGTATTCTTTTTTAAATGCATTTTAAAAAATGGATAACAAAACACGCACTAGATGGATATCCCAAAGAGTTAGAGTTCTAATAAGCATGTCATAGGATACAGTATGGCTATGCTGAAAAAGAAAAAAGGTCAGCCTTTGTTATTTATTTGAATGTACTTGCAAATCTTCCCCCTGCTCTTTGATTATTCAGAATATAACTCTAGAAATATTTCAGATCAGAACAGGTGTACATCTTTTCAAGACTGTGTGTCGCCGTCCCATTTTAGTGCCATGCTTTATTAAGTTTACTTATCATTTATTCAAGGCACTGGGTTATTTATGGGACCATTTCCTCTTGATTGCAGCTACCTGTACTATTCTATCCAAAAGGAGAGGCATTGTATGGTATTGTTGTTCAAGCAGTGATAGCCAACAAAGTCCCATAGGAGCGGCTTTTCTGCCATGGTGGAGCATCATCCCATGAGATAATAAGTTGGCTCTAACCTTAGTGGCCTTCTGTGGAGCCCTACAGGTGTAGATCTGTGCTCAACCTTGGGGCTTCAGGTATCAGGTGGAATTGTTACCAGAAGGTATGCACACATGTGCATAGACACATACGTGCACATATCTGCACACACATTTTTGTTTTCACCTTTCTTCTCCTTATTTTTAGCTCTATTCGATCTTTGTTTGTAAAAGAATAAGAGAGAGTTTTAATTTATCATTATATCTTTTGCCAGAATGGTCTGATTTTTAAACCGGTCTGGGAGAGACACGTTTACAGACTGTCTTAAGAATTGATTCTCCCTTGCCTTATTCTACAGTAAAAGGTAAAAGAAGCAAACTGAAAAGGGGACCACATTTTTCCATGGTTTGGAATCATATATATAAACAGTTTATTTTTAGAAGGATGGGAAAAACCTGACTATAAGGGGGAAAATAGACTTTACAGTAAAATTGTGTATGAAAGAAGTTCTATTCTACTGTGGTTTTTGACAGATTTTGATAGCTATCATGAAGCAGCTTTCAAAAGCCAACAATAAAATACACACAATTCTTCCATAGCCTATTCTGTATACGTTTCCATTGATGTACTGTACATCATGGAAACCAATGTTGTATCACATCCCAACAAACTTGTAATATGCATTTAGACCTGGCATGTCCAACTTTTGGCTTCCCTGAGCTGCATTGTGTGAAGAAGAATTGACTTGGGCCCCCATATAAAATATACAACATAGTTAATTTATATAAAAATAAACTTCCTTTATTTGGGGGAGGGGGGTTGTGGGGCTGCTTTACTAGCAGTTCAGGGCTGCATGTGGCCTACAGACTAGAGGTTGTGCAAAGTGCACAAAAACAAAGAGAAACCTGAATTAATTCTGCCGCCACTGGTGCTTTTCATCACAGTATGTCTTCTGTTGATAATACTCTAGCCATCTATTCTTCAGATCAGGGTAGTCTACTGAATCTGATGTCCTTACTATCTAGGAACTGTGAGAGTCCACTACTTCAGGAATTGAAGTCTGCTTGATTTTGGTCCAAAATGCATGTTTGGCCTCTTTAGTCCCCACTTTTCTCTTGTTTTATGTAGTTCTTTCCAAAATTCCTCCTCTCTCCCCAGGCCTTTGAAAGATCTCTCAGTTACATCAAAACAGACACATTTTTGGGGAATATGCCCCAGCAACAAATAAAACAAAACACCAAATCTACACATTTTAAGAAGAATATGCTGAATTTTCCCTCCAGTTGTTTCATTTCCAAACTTCTGGTCTGTCTGACTATAAAGTTTTTTCGCCACAGGAAATCAGGCATGTATGCTTTTATTTCATTACTTGGAATTACTTCACAAAGTTATTGAATCACCATCTTGATATACTCTACATTAGTTGATGCCATACAGTATATACATGAATGACTCGATGTAACAGAACGTTTATATCCTCTAATGCTGATTAGGTTTAAGGGAATTTCATACTTTCATATTTCCTATTGCTCCATTACACTTGGATGGTGGTTCTTCATACTGATATTAATCACAAACAAATGCTTTTTAATTTGAATACTGTTTTGAGTTTGAAGATCTCAAAACTTAGTAGCTATGTAAGTTTTAGCTCTATCATCAGACCAGACCAGGGGTCTGCAACCTTAAACACTCAAAGAGCCATTTGGACCCTTTTCCCACAGAAAAGAAAACACCGGGAGCCACAAAACCCTTCCTGTGCCTGAATATTTCTTGAGTGGCCACAAAACTAGCATATGTAGTTGAATTAAATGTTTTGTTTTCTTCTGAAACTTTTCTTTTCTTGGATTTATCCATGGTTGGCCTACTGGGGATTGAAAAGCTCAATAAATCGCGTACCAGTGGGTGTTGCACATTGGTGATTGTGATGCATATTTTGAGTGACCGGGAGCTGCAGCAGAGGGGTGAAAGAGCCACATGTGGCTCCAGAGCCGCAGGTTGCTGACTCCTGGACCAGACCAATCAATTGTTATTTCAGAATTCATTTCAGACATAACTATTTTGGTCTTTTAAAAATTGTTTTGGTACTACTGTGTCTGCTCATGGCTTCTACGCCAACTTCCTATTTGAAGAACATTAAAAATGTTGATATTTAGCATATTCTTTCCTATTGGGTGTAAATATATATATAACAAAACCATCAATTTTATATTTCATTACAGTCGACTTGTTACAACCATATTCCTCTTTTCTTGTCCTAACTGAGATGCAAATTCATTTTGCTGCCTTAGTTTCATTTTTTAATAATATTGCTCAATGGGGGGCTAGTGTTCTGTGTTCTGTATGAAAACGTGGTCAGAACTCTTTCCTTTAATTGGACCTAATTGAGACTCGATTTTGGTGAAATTTGGTGATGCTAACAACAAAGACAGTGGTCCAAAACTGTAATTGTGAAGCTCTTGGATCCATTAGGGCAACTCTGAGGGTTTCTATGTGACAGATCAAATTGTAAATAATATCATAATCACGTTTCTGTTTGAACCTAATAGCTACTAAGTGACTCCTAATGAACGGACTAGGTAGGTGACTCAATTCTAAGGGTTTTTCTTACCTTCTTAAGAAATTGTCTGGATTGCTACAATGAAGGTAAAGGATTGACATTATTTCGGTAAAAGGATTTGTTGTTGCATTTCTTTACACGGGTCCAGTGTTCTCCCATATGATCTATCACTGAGTGGAATTTACTAGGAAATTGGGAATAACATTGCCTGTAGAGGAAATGTCACTAGAAAAATTCTTTGCTAGCTTTACTAAAGGTTGAAAACTCTGACAAACATAAGAAGAAGAAAAAAAGCTAATTAATCATATTCATAGATGAAATGAAAAATAAGTACCGTGGTGGCCTAGTGGTGAATATGCTCTCCTCCCACTCGGAAAGTTGAGTTCAATTCTAAGTAGCGGCAGTTGTTTCTCTCTCAGGGCTCAAAGAGAAAATATCTGCTGCAAACTCCATATGGTGTCAGGAAGGGCATCCGGCCAGTAAATGCTCAGCTCCATCCAGTCAGCCTAACTGTACCCTAAATTAAGGGACTACAGGGTCGTTAAAAGGGAGTTTATAGATGAAATGAAAAACAAATGATATCACACTCTGAACTTCCTGTTCTACTTTGCCTGACAGAATCAGCTTCAGCTCTTTCAGTTTTAGCTTAGCTATATAGTTTCAGTTCAACTAAGTATTTAAAAAAGTCTAATTTAATCTGGTTATGATAGTTTCCTATCATTATTAATCCACAGATAACAGTGTATTAAATTCAGATGCACATGACCCATCTAGGTTCTGCAAAAATTGGCAAAAGCCAAAACTACAATAAAAAGCAAGATTGTTTAATAAATAAAATTAAAACTTATATATAAACTCGTTATATAAGCATGTTAACTATGTGAAATAATGACTGGGTTTGGTGGAAGAGAAAGCAAACATAAAGCCATGGATGGAATTCCTCTTCTTATTCTTACCCTACATGACAACAAAGTATCTAAACCTTTCTCCAACACTACACCTTAGTTTTTGTAATCCCCTCTCAAGTCAGTATTGATTTCTAGTGATAGCCTGGACAAATCCCCGCAGGTTTTTTTGGCAAGATTTCAGAAATGGTTTGCCATTGACTTCTTGTAAGGGCTGAGAGGGAGTGACTGGCTGAAGGTCAGCCAGCTGGCTTGGGTGTAAAGTGGGACTAGAACTCATGGTCACCTGGTTTCTAGCCTGGTGCCTTAACCACTACACCAGTGGTGGGTTTCAAAATTTTTTACTACCGGTTCTGTGGGTGTGGCTTGGTGGGCGTGGCATGGCTATTTGATTTGGATATTCAGATTTCCTATTAAAAATTACTTACTTGAATCTTTTCTTTCTCCCTTACTTCTTTCCATTTTCCTCCTCTTGGCTATTTCTGTAAGATAACTTTAACTAATGTAAACCCTGAACTCTCCATTGCACCAAAATTTCACAACACAAATTTTTGTTGTCTTTTAAGCGATATTATGTACAAAATTTAAATGCATTCCATTGTATAATAGGTTACTTTAACAACTACTGAGAAAAAATGTAAGTAATTGACAGCAAGGACTGCACGAACCTGGTATCTTCAATATTTTTGCTTTTCCAAATAATCTTCAGATGAATGTATTATTCACATACCGGTTCTGTGGGTGTGGTTTGGTGGGAGTGGCATGGCTTGGTGGGTGTGGCTTGGTGGGTGTGGCAGGGGGAGGATACTGTAAAATCTCCATTCCCACCTCACTCCAGGGGAAAGTTACTGCAAAATCCCCATTTCCTCCCAATCAGCTGGGACTTGGGAGGCAGAGAATACATGGGCATGGGGCTAATCAGAATTTTTACTACCGGTTCTCCGAACTACTCAAAATTTCCACTACTGGTTCTCCAGAACTGGTCAGAATCTGCTGAAACCCACCTCTGCACTCACCAAACTGGCTCTCAGTGTTACATTATATGGTTGTTATTAGCACCATGGAATTTGACCCTTTCTTCTATAACTATTAATATTCAATTACTTGTCATCATCATCATTATCAGCAGCAGCAGCAGCATGCCAATGTCCAGTAGCATTCTTTTAATGAAGAAGGCCTGCAGATATGGAAGCATGTTGGTTTCCTCCTTGCCTTACTCCTTGTGCCCTCAATTAACAAAAACAAAAAGCCCAATACGATCCATACTGAAGGAGCAGTGCAGGATAAAAGAAGGAGTGAATGAGGAAAGAACCACCTATAGTTACTGTTATTACACAACTGCTACATCTTGGCTACAAAAATTTGAACTACTACTAGATGGCAGTAAAGGTAACTTATTTATCATCTTTTGGCCAACTATATTTTGACCTATAAAGGACCTTCTTCCTTTCTTCTGCTATGTCTTAGTTGCAAGAATGGTGGAGCCGATAAATTTGCTTTGCAGATTATAAAGCTCCTATTATGATTTAACTTCCAGTAAAATATAGATATTTTGAACTTGATTAGTTCACCTTGACCTTTATTCTATGTATTACTTAAGTCTATCTCAGCAGATGTTCAGTGTGTTTTAGACATTAAAGTCTTTTGAAACTTGATTGCTAAGCAAGCATTTTCCATTCTTTGGTTCCCTTTGCAACGTTTTAATATAGTTTGACAAGTAAAATCAAAAGTAATCTTATAAGAAGCCATAGAAGGATACAGAGAAACATCTAGCAAGTGACCCTCTTTGAGGGAGATGGGCAGTTAAGAAATATGACATATAAATTAAAAGAATAGAAATATTTTGTGTTTTGACTTGTGTCAAAATATTGGATATATTGTGGTAGAAAATGTTATATTGATGAAATATAGTCAATATCACATCCTTCCTCTCTTTATAGACAAAGCATTACCTTGCAGTGGGATAAATAAATAAATAAATAAATAAATAAATAACTTTCATAATCTAATATTATTAATATGTGAACTTAGACTGGTAGTGTTAGAAAATGGTATAAATCACATGTGATACCGGGGTGAAATCCAGCAGGTTCTGACAGGTTCTGGAGAACCGATAGTGGAAATTTTGAGTAGTTCGGAGAACTGGCAAATACCACCTCTGGCTGGCCCCAGAGTGGGGTGGGAATGGAGATTTTTCAATAACCTTCCCCCAGGAGTGGGGTGGGAATGGAGATTTTGCAGTATCCTTCCCCTGCCATGCCCATCAAGCTACACCATGCCCACCAAGCTCAACCCATCCAAGACCGAGTGGCTGTGGTTTCCGACGTCCCGATATAGTCAGTTGACGCCATTGCTGACTATTGGGGGTGAATCGCTGGCCCCCACGGAGAGGGCTTGCAACTTGGGTGTCCTCCTGGATTCACGGCTGTTTTTAGAAGAGCACTTGACGGCCGTGACCAGGAGGATTTTTCATCAGGTTCGCCTGATTCGCCATTTGCATCCCTTTCTGGATCGGGACTCCCTACACACAGTCACTCATGCCCTCGTCACTTCTCGCCTGGACTACTGCAACACTCTCTACATGGGGCTCCCCTTGATCTGTCCCCGTCCACACACACACACAAACACAGCCAGCCGAGGGTTAAGGAAACACTTTGGAACGCACCCAGTTTCTTTATCTCCGACTTGGCAGCGATAGACACACCGTCTGCCAAGTGCCTTTATTTTCACAGAAAAACAGACAGATAAAATACTCAGCTTCCAAATGTCCGACAACAATAATTATTTCTCTCCGCAGTTCTGAACGAGGCTTTAGTGACTATCCAAGGTTAGTTTTGTTCGTCACAAGGATCACTGACCACTACCCTCTATTATATAGTCTCTGGGGTGTGGTCCAGTGACTCAGTTCTAATCCCTAGCACACCTCCTAAGCTGCTGCAATCGTTTATCACGCCTTCGGAGGCGTGCGTCCAGGAATGATGTTTCTTCGTCACTCTGATCCGAGCCACCTGTCTCCGTGCTAATCTCCTCTCCCTCGGCCGGCACCTGAGACAATGCCAGAGGGGAGGGGCCTGGAGAGGGAGGCCTGGCTGACTCCTCTTCCTCATGCTCGGAGCTTTCTTCCTCCGATGGGACAGTCTCAGAGGGCGGGGCCACAACACCCCTTGAGGAGCACCCGGAGGCTCCAACTGGCGCAGAGTGCGGCCGCGTGGGTGGTTATGGGAGCAACATGGCGCTCCCATGTGACACCTCTCCTGCGCGAGCTGCACTGGCTCCCAGTGGTCTTCCGAGTGCGCTTCAAGATTCTGGTTACCACCTTTAGAGCGCTCCATGGCTTAGGACCTGTTTATTTACGGGACCGCCTACTACCACAAGCAGCCTCCCACCGGCCGGTACGCTCTCATAGAGAGGGACTCCTCCGGGTGCCGTCAGCTAAACAATGTCGACTGGTGGCCCCCAGGGGGAGGGCCTTCTCTGTGGGAGCACCCACTATCTGGAACGAGCTCCCCCCAGAGATTCGGAGGATCCCAGATCTACGCACTTTCCGCCGTGCTCTTAAGATTCTTCTATTCCAGCAAGCCAGCCTGGCCTAATTTTCTCCCCTGTTTTAAAATTCTTTTACATCGAAATTTTAATTTGTTTTAAATTATTGGGATTTTTTAATTGTCTTGGGCTAAATTATTTAATCTGGTTTTAATTATATCTTTTAACTTTTGTATTTATGTATTTTATTTTGTGCCTGTTCACCGCCCTGAGTCTTTCGGGAGTAGGGCGGTATATAAATCTAATAAAAGACAAAGACAAAAGACAAAGACCAAGCCACGCCCACAGAACCTGTAGTAAAAAAAAATTGGATTTCACCACTGTGTGATACCTCTGGGTAATGTATAGGCAAGTATAAAGATCTGGACTGTAGATTATCTTCTGATTCCTTTATCTTGGTATTAGACTTCTTAGGAAGCTTTCTCAGTTGTTAAATGAATTGTCATGAACTGATGCAAATGAATCACAGACTTTTTCCTGAATATTTGGTGCAAGATAAATGTAACAAGATAAATTAATATCCAAGATTGACTTATACTCTGACAGGCCTTCCTGTGCTTGTGAGATTCCAATAGAGGACAATATATGCTGCTCAGGATTGAATTGTGGATTTCTTGGTGCTCTTTGGCTATTTTCTTACAGATGTTTCATTACCCATATCCATATCCAACTAGGGGTGAGTGAGTGTAAGATTTGCTCCCAGGTAGTTCCTTGTTTGGGGTATTGTTTCCTGCTTGATGGTTTTTCTGGTGTTAATCTCTGCATATCTGGGTGTTGGCTGCTGCAGAGGATGTATTTTTGAGTTTAGGGTTAGGTTTTTTTATTGTCTCTTTTGAATGGTGTGTCAATGTAATTTGTCTCAATGAGTGTATTGATGACTGATTTGTTTGAATGCCAATCTTCCAGGCTATTCTAGAGTATCCTAATAAAAGAATTTCCAAGAAGAAAACCACACTCCCATCAACACTGGCAGGGCAATCTATTGTATATAAACA